GGGACAGGGAAAGGTGTGTTTCTATAACAACTAAGATCAAGGAGGAGTTGTCGAACTTTAGACGTGAACTGCTGGTCTTATAAAGAGGAGGAGGAAGTGGCAGGAAAAGAAGGACTGAGAAGTCGAGAAGCCAGCATTAAAGACTGTACCGAGGAGGCTTCGTCCTGTAAAGTAGAACCTTTTTTCTGCCCTTTGGTTTAACTTTCCTTTAATAGCAAGAATTATCTGACAAATCGATGCAGTTATACAAGGTGAAGATCTCCCTCCTCCTGCCAGCAGCAGCTTCCTGCTCCATGTGCTGCCATAAACACATTTTTATTCTGTGTTTTCCAGCAGAATTACATAACCCTCGTATTCTGCAGGGACTAATGTGGAACTGGCAGCACATGAGAACTGGAATAAGGTTTCGAAGATAAATGTTTATTCATCTATATTTGATCATGGTTGACTCAAGGCAAATAAAAGCTGCTGGACTAAAACCCAAGAAGAGAGAAATCAAACCCATATTAAAATATCAGAACTCATGGATATCCAGCTCTTAAGCTTTGACACACATAAAGCAGAACTACAGACAAATTCCAGAAACTTATGAACTGCAGCTGTGACTGTGCACTCAGCTTTTCGTCAATTTAGTTTAAAGCATTTATATCACAAAAAGACCATTGTTGACATAGAAAAAAAAGACAATGGTAGTTTCAAAGTTCAGACTATTGATTTCTGTGGCTAAATTAAAGGACTAYAACCTATTGACAGAGATTTAAAGTAAGATTCTCATTGTGGGAAAGGATAAAGTTTTAAGTCAGAGCTATCTTGTGCAATCTCGTGAGATATTTCAAGACAAACACTTGGTATGTGTTGGGAATGACTCTCAGCTACTACCACACCAATATATGTAGGGAAACCTCAACCAGAAAAGGGAAACTGAGGCTTTCGTTCTGGACCAGATCTTTATCCTTGTGAAGCTGCATACATGTCAACTTGTACAGATTGTCCGTAAGTTATAAGGATTTTACATCATTTTGCAGGTATAGGACGTATAGAGCAATCTCACGGATTTTTTTCAAGTTTTACGGATTTTTTCAAAACCTCATTTTTGAATTTATCTAACATGTCAGAGCCTGCAGGATGATTTGATGATTTGAAAAACAATAAATAACATCAAACAGCCATCTTTCAACCTGTTCTGCCACTAGAAATTAAGTTTTGAACTTATCCCGCTTTCCTCTCCTCTCCTCCTGCTTCGCAGCGGGCGCTTTCATGTCTGCAGCTGACAGCAAGCCCACTCCCCCACCCCCCGGCCCACATCCCAATGACAAACCACTTGCCATTTCAGCCAGCAGTGCCAGCTTGACACCACATCTGGCCTACACCTGTCACCTGTCAAGAAAGTTCACCAGCGCCTCTTCTTCCTGAGGTCTCTGAGGAAGAACCACCTGTCCTCAGACATCCTGATAAACTTTTATCAGGATGCATGCTGCACCACTGAGAGCATCCAGACCAAATACATCACAGTCTAGTATGGGAACTGCTCGGCATCAGACTGGAAGGCGCTACAGAGGGTGGTGAAAGCCGCCCAGCGAATCATCGGAGCACCATTTCCTGCCATAGAGGACATCTACAAGAAGCGGTGTCTGAAAAGGACTGGGAAAATCAYCAAAGACTTCAGTCACCCAGCTCACAGACTATTCACCCTCCTGCCCTCTAGGAGGCGCTACAGGAGCCTCCGGACTAAGACCACCAGGTACCGGAAAAGCTTCTTTCCTACAGCTGTTACACTCCTGAACTCTACAGCCTGCCATCAGCACAATACCCATAAAACATGGACCTAACATCACTATCTGCACTGTTTTGCTCAACACTGTATAAATAATCTACTCTTGTTAATAATACATATTCAATTTATATGCCATCATATTTAGAACATGATCATAGGATGTAAATTCACATTTCTGTAAATTAAAGCCTGTTAATTCCTATCCTGTACATTCATAACCTGTAAATAATTATACTTACAGCTTTAACATATTAAAAGAATTACTGTACATTTGTAATATACTATACTGTATATATTTATATTTCATGCTAAGCACTTCTGGATGGATGCAAACTGCATTTCATTGCCTTGTACTTGCAACATGTGCAATGGCAATAAAGTTTAATTCTATTCTATTCTATTCTATGTGGGTGGCTAAAACTAAAAGTATTTTTTTTAGTAATCTTTTCCTGTTAAATCAATAAATCAAAATCAAAATCAATGTTTGACCCAAAAAGCAAAACCAAAATTTTATGTGATGCTCAGTTCTCAACCCAGATGAAAAGAAGTTAGTTTTAAAAGTTTTAAAGAAAGGAGCAGAACTTGTTCTACACTTTTGTTCCAAATGAAAATAWTAAAAAACTAAGTCAAATCCTGCAGATTGTTTGATCCCCTGACTWCTAGCTAAACAGCTGTTGGTGTGTTTTACCACAATCTCTCTAGAGAAAAGCAAAATGCTTGTAAATGTGAGATTAAAGACTTGCTCCCTAAGGTCAGTGAAGACCATCTGATTTGACAAATCCTCTCTTCCCAAAGATCCTAATACCACACTCACAAAAAACATCTGTTAAAACAACTAACATTTTATCATCTCTGTAGTATTCATGTTAAAATACTTTCCTTTCTGAAGACTGTATATTTTTCTGAATATTTGTTAAAGATCTGGTGCCAGCACATTACCAGTCTGATATTAGAACCTAACCTCAGATCAATGCTCATGTATCTTGGCAGAAATATAAACAGAAATAATGTGTAAACTGTAAATCAAATGATAGAATTTCACATTTTAAGACTTTAAAAAAAGTCTATTCATTCTAAATTTTATGGTAGCAACAAATCTCACCAACGATTGTTTTAGTCAGTAGTACTTAGCACAAAAAAGTGAGGAAATGTGAGTTTCTTTGGCCATTTCTCAGTTGCAGCAATGCAATAAATGACAGTAAATCTTAGTCTGTTGAAAAAGGTATTTATTTCCCCTTAATCAGTGCCACTTTTAGAAAAGGCATTTGTGTGTTGAGCAGCAGAGCTGAGTTTGTGAGTTGGACGTATTAAAAACTTGCCAAATCTCCTCCGCCAATGCCAAGCAGCTCATTCTGTTTTTGACTCTTCTTTGATGTGTTTTGGGTTGGGTGACTGAAGTCTGAAAAAAATAACCAACAAGCCAAATTGGCAATTTCATGCTGAAAACATGGGGTATCAAACACTCAAAATAAGAGTCCATGGTAGAATAAGCTGCTCTGCGTTGGCTGAGGTGTGGCGGCCTTTTCATTCCACTGCTCAAATCACAAAGCATACTGGTATGTCTGATAAATGTGGCACCATTTTAAATCAAATCTAAAATATTTTTAAAGGAAATAAACAGGCTTTTCAAAGGTATGGGACTTATTGCTAAGAAGCATTAAAACAAAATAGACGATAAAACACAAATTTCCTTACTTTTCTTCTGAACTCTGAGTTATATTAGACCAATGTTTTTCAACCCTGGCCCTCAAGGCACACTGCCCTGGTTGCCAGGGTTGAAAAACATTGCTTTAGAAAGCTGAGAAAATGAACAGCTCTGTGTCCAGATTGTTGTCATAATCTCAAGTGCCTGTCAAACATAAGTAATGAGTTGTCTTTGCTTATGTTACTGATCTTTTTGTTTGACAACAAACAGGTAAATACAAACAGTTTAAGTTCACAAACATGCAACGATCAACTCGCAAGTCAATATAAAAGCTCGCTCTTCATGGTTATTTCCTCAGTGTAGTACTCTGAAGTACACACAACACTGTACCACACCTTGAGGGGTTCTGACAGTACCTGTTAGTCCCATCAGTGCATACACACACCCACACACACACACACACACACACCAGTTTTTCCATTGCTCCACAAGAGATCATGTCAACTTATATGCATTTTCTGCTAACTTGGTCCAACCTTAACCATTATTCTATCATTTTTCTTCATGAGAAAGTTGTGTTACTGCAAAGTGAATGTGTGAATTCATGYATGTTCAACATCTTACAAGATACTCATTAAACACAAACAAACAAAGGCAGTGAGTCTGATAAGCATAAAGTAAATCACCCTTTTTCTCTTTAGTTTATGGCTAATCAGAAAATTCTTTCCTGCTTTTTACACACTCTTTATGATAAAGTAAGGACRGCTTATAAAAACTGGAGCACGTGTTGTGTAGCAATTGATAAATCAAACCTTGAGCAGCCTATCATTAGCTTGATCATGTTTGAAACAAGGGCTGCTGCAGTTTAATAAAAGGTCTCCAATGGTTACCTTTTTTTTCCCCTCTCTCTACTTTTGTACATCTCACTCTCTCACTAAAAAACATTATAGATCCAGCTCCGCTGTACTTCTGCTTACTGAGCCACTTTGTTGCTGAAGCACCTCTGGTGGCTTGTCTCACTGTAAACAGTCAGACTACAAACATCTACACAATGTACACCTCTTGAACTAAACACAAATATTTTAAATAATTAAGTGGGATACTCCATTATTAAAGGAGATATGTCGTGATTTTAAATCCTCTTTTTTCACATTTAAATCATTCACTTGGGGTATATATAAAGTGGAATGGCAATGCTTTGGTCTGAATTCCTTCTTATTGTAACTCCACAAGCCCCTTTTTTAACTCCGGTCTCAGATCAACTCGTTTTGAGGCYGTCTCTTTAATCCAAACAAGGCGCTTCAAACCCCGCCCCTCTCCAGCTTACAGAGAGGTCCATTCCAGTTTACTTAGAAGTTTTATCGTGAATAATTTCATGTAATTGTTCAGAAAATGTCACTGAAAATAAAGGAAACTTAACAGGGTGAAAAATATGACCCAAACAGAATATAAAGATACCTACGTAGAACCAGGAAAGACTAAATTAAGATTTTTTTTGCACTCAAGTACACAACAAAACACATCAAGTGGCTAAAACTGTGGAATTTGCATGATAAGTTTTTTAAAAACTTCTAAACATACATCTTTGATGAAGTATTCCAGCGTGGCATAGGCGATGGCGATCCCATCATGAGTACTCGTCCCTCGTCCCAGTTCGTCTAGGATGACAAGTGAGCGTTCTGTCGCATGAAAAATGATCTCCGAGGCCTCCGTCAGCTCTTCCATGAATGTGCTGCGCCCTTTGTAGATGTTGTCAGAAGCTCCCATCCTAAACAGAAAGGACAAAAGCAGTAACGTTACAACAGTAACTGACGTCACAGCAACAAACGTGGGTATTTTGGACACTTTAATGAACCTGGAGCCATTTGAACGGTTGAATATTCGGCTGAACGAAAACAGTTTTTGTCTGGTGTTTGTCACAGAGCTCATTGTAACAGCTGTCAACTCTCTGGAATGCTTTGTTTTTGTGTGGTTTGTTTGTGAGACATCCCAGAAGTGATGATTGATAACTTCCACCATCACTGTGGCACACTAAGCAGGATAGAACAATTAATTCACACCCACTGCTCGTTTTCATTCCTGACAATCAACATCTGCTAGGTTAGACCATTATCTGGTTTCTCACATGTGATCTGCCACCAGCAGGTGACTGCATCGACTAAAACTGTGTTACAAGTTTGAAATTTTATTTCTCTGGTGACGGATCTTGTTTATGCACCAGGGCTTACAAAACAAAGGTTTGTTGCCAACCAATCTGCACAGTTTATCATATTTTTTAGGAAAACCATGCACTTAAACAACATTTTAAAGGCAAATTTTTAACATTAAAGATTTATAAATGGGCATCTTTCACAAACACTGAAATATTAGTAATACAGCGGGTAAAATAAGTATTGAACACGTCAACATTTTTCTCAGTAAATATATTACTAGAGGTGCTAATGACATGAAATTTTCACCAGATGTTGGTAACAACGCAAGTGATCCATACATACAAAGAAATCAAACCATGATGAAAATGAAACGTGGCTGGGCCATTCCAGCAGCTTTATTTTCTTTCTCTGAAACCAATTGAGAGTTTCCTTGGCTTTGTGTTTGGGCTCATTGTCTTGCATAAATGTCCAGCCACGTTTCATCTTCATCATCCTGGTAGATGGAAGCAGATTTTTATCAATAATGCCTCTGTACATTTTTCCATTCATCCTTCCTTCAATTATTAGAAGTTTGCCAGTACCATAT